TTTTCCTCTATTTTATTACAAATCTTCTATCCTCTTATCATTATTTTTGAATGCTAAATCGCATATCTCAAACAACCAACCATAATTATCTGTTTTGAATATGGTGATCAAATTAATTAATTTTTCATTTGCGTAAAAATTGATACAGGCCAACTTATTATATCAATAATTAAGTCCGTACAAATACGCTCCATTGTTTCAAATTGATTATCATTCGCGCGCAACAAATGCGCACGCTATATGGGCAAACTTGATCAATTCGCAGAAATACTCGGTTGATTATATCACTCTATGATTTTAATTACCGCAAGTTGGAGAAATAACTGCCTTTCTTGCACTGTCTATTACGCTAGGCGATAAAAAGTATTATTGCCGCAGTTCACACAGTAATCCAATAAATTACGGCAAATACAATGACGCGGCGATTTAACCATCTCGACGAGAAACAACGATTAAGACAAATGTTTTCAAATAAATTGCGATTTGTCAAGCAAAACAATATCGAAGAATTTAAATGAAAAATTCTTTAAATCCAATTTGTGATAAGCATTCAATAGCAAAAATCACAACAGCAAAGTTTAAGCGAAGGAGGAGAATTAAACGGAGCAAAAAGCGAATATTGATCACTCAAATTTTCCGATGCAATTAAATTGAGTTCACTCACGGCAAGAAAAAAGGCACTCGCGCACAATCGCGCAAAAGTTTGAACCGACAGTTGCTTGAGTTTCAGCGAAACGCAAAGCAACTTTCTCGCGCATAATTATCTGGCAATACGCGAACAATTAACGCACGTAACGTTGAAACAAGTTCAAAGCTCCGGTTATCAGTTTATGATCGAGCGGTTGTATTCCCACGAGAGTGGTTGAATTCCACGTGCAACGTGTTCATCCCTTTATTGCCCCGCTCGCATATTGTTACGATTAGAGCCGCTAATCCGTGTTTCGCAAAAATGATCGAGGAGAGCGATACGTATCGTCTATAACTAAATGTAATCCTTAATCGATAATATACGCGCGCATGTATGCGCTTGGCTATTAATTTAATTGCGACAGAGGATGCACGTATTAGTATTGAGCTACAATTGTTTTCGCGCTACGTATATATATATACATATATATTGTTTTATAAATCATTGCTTGGTATTACAATAGCGGTTTTCTGTAGACTAGGAAAATGGTGCAAGAGATTGTAAATTTCAATGGCAGTATAATACTCGGTGAAAAAAATTTTTTTTTTACATTTTTCATTCAAGATTTTGATCCCAAAAACTCTCTCTTTTCCATTTTAATGAGATTTGATTAAATATAAAATAATCCGCAATATATTGTATAATGAAGTAAGGATATAATATATATATATATACAATAATAAAGGTCAAATCGCGATAAAACTTATGTCCTGCCTCATTTATTATTCTCCCTTGCGTGTTGTATTGTACTTTTTCACACAATCTTCATTATCTCGAAAACATAAATATCCCTTCAGAAATAAATTGAATTAATGAACGTATAGAGATTGCATTGTGTCCATAAGTCATTTATTATAATTGTAAATCATATTCAAGGGATAGTTACATAAAATTGAAAACATTAATCTTGAAAGTTCAAGAACCATAGTCGCTCCAAACGTTAACAGATGATGATGCGTGGCTCAAAACTTCCCTGGCGACGATTTATTTATGTGAGAACCTCCGCTTGGCTTCGCGCTTTATAACAAAAATATTAACTCACACTTATATACGTACGCCGCACATCTATTGTTTTGTAGTAACAATTTATCAAGTCACCGTTCGTAAATCGGCGCTCCTCGATTAATGTAAAAACGTGCGATTCGCAATCGGGAAAGAACGGGTACACGATTATTTATAGTACAACGATATTTACAGGTGTTGCTTACAAGTGATACTTACAATGAAAACGTCTTAATATGACACGCATACACGCTCTCTCTCTCTTTCTTTCTTTTATTCTCGCACGCTTTAAACACACTCGTAATATTTCCATTGTCTACATACAAAACTTTAACGTTATTTAACGCGAAGCAACGTTACGGTACGTACATGCACCACTTTGTCGCCTAAAATAAGAGCCTGAAATACTCGATCATATAATGCAGACGATGTGTATATCAGGCAATAATTAAAAATTTTAAACTTAAAAGATCTTTAAAATTGTATATTCTGCGATTTCCTCACTCGTGGTTAGTGCCGGAGAAATCGCGTTTTGCCCGTATTCCCCGTGTCACGGCATTACGGATTCTCACTTGCTTTATAAGGATATAAAATCAGGATAACGCGAGCGAACATAAACTTCTGCATTGCCGCCATTAAGCGACAATTTTGTCGCGAAGAATCTCGCGCGAATTTGCATGACAACGAGGTTGCGAGTACGTACAGTATATTTATGGACGCTTCCCGTCAATTAATATCAGGCACTCCGAACAAGGTTGCTTCAACGAGAATAGACTAATTAATACCGAACGAGGTAAAAGACGTAATAAAAATTTGCAAGAGTATCAGCAACATTCACACACGAATCCCTTTATTCGGTTATACTGTGTGTCCTGATTGTGTTTGTTAATTAGCGTTATCAATTTAAAAAAAAAAAAATATTGTTCAAGTGAAAAAATTTATTATTTTCGGTATCCCGTTTCGTAAGTTTTAGTACGCTTATCTGCTTCAAATAGCGTGATAACGTTACATGCAAAATTCTCCGATGGCATTGCACGAACGTGTAATGACGTTAATGCATAGCATAATAATAGAGGGTAGCGGCGGCGATGTGGAACAAATGTTTATTACAAGCATTTATGATAAATGCTTCCTCCACATAATCGCATTACCTCCTAACATTTCGTCCATTAACAAACCATTATTATAGCATTATGCACCATTTCATATATAATACATGTTTACGCGCACAAATAAACATTTCAATTTTTCGATAAAATATTACTTGCCTGTTTTTACCTTTTTTTGGTTTTTCTTTATGTCAGTAATATCAGTCACAATCCGCAGTAAAAGAAATACGTGCGTAATCCGTCAGCTTTTCCAATCGTTGATCGATCGATCGCCGCTCAATAGAGCGTCTTTGGTATAATTCGTTCGTCCCCGCTGGATGAGAGCTAGATAGGATGCGAGGATAAATAATACAACCGCGAGCTCGCTATCAATAATGAGGGATTTCCGAAGATATTCCGCTACCGATGAAAAGCAGCGCAGCTTGGAAAATAGAAAGACCGCGAGGCAAGCGCGTTAAGGTAGATCGTATAAGAGATCCTTCCTATAATATATTTACACGAGGCTAATTTGCATCTCAGACGACGAAAGCTTGTGGTAATTTGCGATTTGCATCTTGTCATGTAAATACTGACGGATAAACAGAACGTGTGATGTGTCGTCATTTGAACAATAAACGTGGAACAGTTCCCTGGTGGGATTACTTTTATTTTCTGATTTCGCGACACGCTTAGCGAGATAAAATAGAGTACAAAAAGCGTAATGTAAGAAATATATTGATAAGTGCTACGTGTATTTAAAGTCTCATCGAGTTAGCATAAGGCAAACTTTAATAGCGACATCGATTGCTCTGCTGCTGAATATCGGCGATATTTTTAACGCAACGTATTAATGGAACGCGTCAGTGTATTCTGGGAATGAGATATCTATCATTCATAAAACAGAACGTTCAAAGAGCTATGCATAAAGAATGATATTATTGACGCGTCTCGACGAAAATAAAAGAACCGAAAATAACGGTGTAATAATAAAAGAAGAAGAAGAAAATAGATGCGAGAGTGACGAGTGTTTCCTGGTTTTCGAGTCCCTCGAAACGTATACGTGTTACATAATGCTATTTGCATAAATACAAGACGCTGAAATTCCGCAGGGGTTTCCTCACAAAAGGAAAGCCCGAGGGGTTCGCGAGCGTTGTGAGAAGTGGAAGAATAATAACGAAGAAGAAGCATTCTCTCTGATGAGAGAGGATTTTCTCCCGAATAGCGGTTTCTGGTACAGCTTTACGATACATAAACCTTAATTAATGCGGACCAATTAAAAAGGGAAAAGAAAGAAAGCGCGCACCTGCAAGCTTACGTAATTGCATCTCGACCGCGGGAGAACTCGTTTTCAAGTTTTCTGATCTCGCCGCGCGATGATGACATCCGATAATTATATTTTCAGTCGGTGCTCGATTACACGTTCGGTTACATCGTTGCGATCCGCGTCGCAGAATTGAGGAAATTGCGTTATCGATGTTGCTCGCGATATTGCTTGTTTTGAGAGCGGTCTTTGGTGTTATATCTGGTACGATTTGTACGGGCTACAGATAATAAATTATAAACATATATGTATATA